AACTCTTTTATGGAGCTTTTTCCGAAAGCTCTATATGCCTTTGCTAACCTGTTGTCTATCTCTCCGTCAATCTTACCATCCGAGGAGATGAGGCTGCCTAGGTAATTAAACTGCTGGACTGATTTGAGCTCTGATTCGTCAGTGGTGATATGGGGGTGATGGAAGACCTGAAGTGCAGGTTGATAGAGAACTTCTGTCTTCTTCAGGTTGACTTCCAGCCCAGAAAGCTCAGCAGCGTCTGCAAAGCAGGATGTTAAACGCTGCAGAGCTGCTTCTGTGTGGGCGACGAGGGCAGCATTGTCAGCATAAAGCAGCTCACGGACAAGATGATTTAAGGTCTTAGTATGTGCCTTCAGTCGCCTTAGGCTGAATAGGCTTCCATCGGTATGATATCGAATGTAGATACCATCTTGATCATTGAGGTCTGCAGTGGCCCTTTGGAGCATCATGCTGAAAAAGATTGTGAATAGGGTTGGTGCAAGAACACAACCTTGTTTCACACCATTGGTTATTAGAAAGGGCTCAGAAAGTGCATTGCCATATCTGACTTGGCCGTGCCGATCCTCATGAAGTAAGATGGTAATTTTAAGGACCTTGGGGGGACATCCTAAACGTTCCAAAATCTGCCATACACTTTATCTGCTCACAGTATCGAAAACCTTGGTGAGATCAACAAAGGTTACATAGAGACCTTTGTTCTGTTCCCTACACTTCTCTTGCAGTTGTCTGAGAACAAATACCATGTCTGTGGTACTCCCGTTGGCTGTGAAACCACAATGGCTTTCAGGTAGAAGTTCTTCTTCTATAGCGGGTATTAGTCTGTTCAAAAGTAATCTTGCCAGGATTTTGCCAGCAATGGAGAGCAGAGTGATACCTCTGTAATTTGAACAGTCTGATTTATCTCCTTTCTTCTTATACAAGGTGATGATGATTGCATCACGAAGTACTACGATGGTAGTTCACCTAGTTCCCAAGAAGATTATTCATGTAATAATTCTTTCTTCTGTACAGCCTTTTTTTTTTTCCTGAATGAAAATTAGATCAGATGAATGTATCTTTAAGCCAGTAAGACAGACTCTGCAGGTTCTTTGTTTCACAAGGAGTTGTAAAATAATTCTTAAGGGCAAATTACTCCATTAGGTTGGCACAGTAGTGTCTTTTACATCCAAACCTTGGGGTTGTATATGTAATATCAGCATGCATTTGTCCAACTGGATTAAGCGGGTCAAAGCTTGCAAAAAGGTCATAAAAGGCTCCTTTCCTTTTTAGCAGGAGGATGGGAGACTGTATAGGGTCAGCTGACTGATGTTGGTGAAAACCAAACTACAGGATAAGTATTAGTTTTCAGCTTGATAAACAGTGTGCTCTTACTACAGAGATATGTAGTTGCTAGTGCTAATAAAAACATGGGGGTAAGAATGCTATGCTCTGAGAAGCTGGGAAGGGAGAGATTGTCTCCTTCATTATCAGCAAGATTAGACAAAGCTGATAACAAATCTGCATCTAAGTTACGTTTTCGTCTTAGGTTACTGTCCGAACTGCACAGTTTCTCTGCACCCCATACTTGCCTTCCCCACAACAGCTTTCTTTGCAGCTAAGGCAATAATCGATTTGGAATATGGTTTTACTCCTGTTGTCATCAAATACTACTGTAGGTCATGCTATGACTAAGAAATCTGGCCCCATTACTGATTTTGGACAGGGTTCTTTTATTGGTTTCCATTCCTTATTAGCATATTTCTGCTTGTGTGAGACAAAAAACACTTGGAATGGTTTTCCTGGAGTCCTTGCTACTGAATTTCCTCTTCTGATGGCGAGCCAATAGGTGTGGACACAGGAATTGAGTTCCAGCTGATGGGGCAATATCACCCATAGGATGCTGGATAGCCAGTAATGAATGCAGAACTTTCAGATTGAAAGAGATACAGTTGGTCGTGAGAAGGCATGAGGATTGCACTATCATCTCACAAAAATATGTGTTTAAAAGAGTGGGCATAGCCCTGTTAAGCCTTGCAGCTACTGCTTGTCAGTGGGTAATCAACTTGAAATGGCCAAGTCCACTGAATACTTTCTGTACCACTGCATTATGAGGCTAAACCTTGATATCTATAAACCTCATGCCTATTTTAGTCATGTCCTTATTTCTTGTAGAGTGGAAGTGGAGTGTGCATGTGATCATCCCACTGCAAGATCTGGATTGCTGTGGTAAAAGTGTAGTGCCAGCGTTCTCTGTGCTACATGTACCTTCTATGCACAGGATATGAAAGGACCAGATTCCTGTTATCTGTTGCATTTATGCCTTTCTATCTAAGCAGGGTCTCTCTGTACCCTACTAGGTTTCCTAATGTTTGCATGTTTTATTCTTGTAAGTCCTGATACTACCTCACTTAGCATTACTTTTTGGAAAGCAAAACTCTCTCTTTCATAACCTGCTATGTCCTTTCACTTTCCCTCCCGCTTTTTTGATTTTGACTGGTCACCCACCACTTGCAGTCCAGGAGCCGAGAGCAGCACTGGTGGGAGATGGAGGGATTTCCTGCTGAAGCTGCTGTTTCTCCACAGTAGCAGTTCTGCAAAGTACTAGTTCTCCAGATTCTTGTCAGTTTGGCACCAAGAGTTGCTGACAGGGACAACATCAGCACCTGTGAAGGGAAGGAAAACAAGCCTTGTCTGGTTTAGAGCATCTGAAGATACAATGCACTGTTTAGTTGTGTATAGTCATCCTCCCCCTTTTTTCCAGGACATACTTTTGTGCATGGTGGTGGAAGTAAATGGGATAAACCCATTTTTTGCCCTAATTTATGTGGCAGATAGTCAAACTCTGAATGACACACACATTCTCATCAAATTAGCACTGCTATTCACTCTCAGTGGCTGACTGAATGTTGACAGCTTATGTGACTCTGTTTTACAGACAGACAGAGAGAGAAGGGGGGAGTGTTTGTACAACTGACCAGGTCATGTGCTCTTGTTCTACAGTAGTAGGTATTGAAATGTGCATCCCTGCCTTGAGTGTTTTAGGTGTCTTTTCTGACTGAAAGAATCTCTGTAGAGTGAGCTTTGTCCTAAAGCTGTGAATGAGTCTCCAAAATTAGAGACTAAAATTTGGTTTCTAAGCTGTGTGATGTATCTGAGCCAATAGAACATGGAGTTCTTTGTTTTTTATCATTTTGTATGCCTGACCCTGTTCCTATGGGAAGTTGTGATTGACCAGCAGTTTGCATTGCTAACACTGTCGTGCTCTACATCAGTGGTGACTTCTGTAGAGTGCCTAGACAGGGAGCATCTGAGCCCCCTTAGGTAGAAGTTTAAAGACTGCAATATGGGCTGAGCAGCTGAGAGTATGAGAGAGTCTGTTTCCTGCCCAAATTTATTTGAAGGTTCATTGTTAGCATTTTGATTCTTATAAAATCTGGCTTTTTGAACTCAGACACCATTCCCCTGGTTATAGAGTTTGCTGCAAGGAGAAAGACTAGGCAGTTCTCCTCTAGGAAGCTGGGATCCTGTCATGGTACATTTCTGTGTCTGCAGCTGATCACATGGCAGGAACAGGGGCAAATTGGTCTTGGTGGAGTTTTGTTCTTTCTAAGAAGCAATTTTTTTGGTTGTACCATTGAAGCAGTTCTATCCGTTACTATGATGCTTCAGATAGGTCAGCACATGTTTGTCTTCTACTGAGACAGCAACAGAGATTTCCACTCTGTTTTCTGTTATTTCCTATGGCCAGGCCTGTATATAAATTGACTATTTTTATGTAACTTTCACACTTTATTTCTCTTTGCAAGAGTGAAAGTCAGCTTTTGTACTGTATTCTAGTCCCTCCAGGCTTCCTGTTTTCTCTGACTACCTTTGAATTTTATTTTCTTTCTTGGTCACCAGACCTTAGCAGACTGACCTCAGTGCATGTTCTGTGTATTACATACAATAATACAAAGGCCTCTGTATTTGTTAAATTAAACGAGTTCTCTGTTAGCAAGACTATTTTGCAGCATTGCAACTAGCTGGCTTTCTTCACACACATACAGACTCATTCCTGCATCAAACTAATAGGTGCATGGCGCTAGAAGTATTCACCAAGCCATGACATGTTCTAGAACCACTGTAATAAACTGAATGTCCAGCTTAAAGCAGGCAGCTTTTCTGGAGCTGCTCCAGAGTCTGATGGGTACAGTGGTTAAAAATCTTATTTCTAGCCATGGCTAGAACATGAACAATAACCATTTCTTGGAATGTCCTCATTTCTCTCACCCTCGTCTTACAGTGTATTTGTAAAAGGTAATGTATTCTCTTTCATAAGTTCTCTTTTCTAGCCACGCCTTGCATCAGATCTGGTTTGAACTCACCTTTCTTGAAGAAACTTAGCAACACTATAGGCAGAATTCCAAGTGAGATCTCTTCAATACTCTGGTTTCACTCATCTTTCCAAATATTTCCAGGAGATCCTGTTAATGCATCTCTAAATTGAGTCTTCCCTTCTGCAAAATCCACTGTTCCCTCCATGTTTCATCTGCATGGCTTCTGGTTTATTGCTTGTGTATAATCCTCTGAGGTCATACTCAAGAGTAATAATAAGCTGGGATTCATTTGACTGTCTCTGTCTCAAGACTTTCACAGAGATGAGGGTTACTCCTGCTTTCCTTTGGATGGCATGAGATCTGCTTAATTTCATGTCTCTTCATATAAGCAGCTAATGGTCATTTTTAAGAGAAAGATCTAAGTGCATCCGTACTTTTATCCTTTGAAGTTGATTGACTAGAAAACGAAGTATAGTTGCAGCAAAGGTGCTAAAGCTGTGCAGATTTGTTAAAATAATAAATAATGAAAGACAATAAATAACGACCAAGAAAACAAATTACCCTGCTCACAGCACATATAATCCAATGTATTTCACAACTGTCAGTAATAAATGTCAACTTTTATTAAGCAACATACACAACATGGTTCTTTAAATCCTAGGTGTGCAACTGAGAAACACATGCTTCTTTGTTATTTTACTTCAGGGATCTATATGTGCTCAAAATGAGTCTCATTAAATCACTATTGGTGAATTGCAACTCCCCAGGCAGTGTTTCTGTTCTTAAACAAGAATTACCTTGGTGAGTTTTCGGCATTAATAACTACTGGATAAAAATCTACTCTTGCACTATTTCTTTATGATTTCTGAAAGAGTCATACTTTCCTGACTTACCATTACATCCATTTGTATTTCTGTTGTAGTCCAAAAGGGACTGAAAATTGCCATAAAACAACAGCTAAGAAAGCTTTAAATGAGGAACTTCGGAGGAGCATTCAAGAGTTTGAGAGGGAGATTAATCAGTGGAGCCATAGTCTGTGATCTGTGACACGTGGAAGCCAACTCAGCATGGCCACTAGGGAGGCAGGTCCTGGATCTGCTTTGTACCAGAAGGAAGGAGGGGTGGAACAATGTTACAGGACAGAGTGGTAAAAGAAACCCCTTCTTACCCTTCAAGTTGCCCTCTAAGATACCCTGACAGAACAGGTACAAGGTGCTCGTACATAATCTTGCCAAGGTCAGAGACATCAACCTCTTGCAACAAAACTTGCATTAAGACATGCATCAAGAAGAAACAATGGTGAGTTTTGGGCACTGATGACTCCCTCTGTGTGGAATGGAAGCACTCATTTGCAGACCAGACTCTCTTTTCAAAGAAGTTTGCTGCTTCCCTGGGGCCCAAATTAGGAATGTCACCACAAAACTGAACAGCCCAATACAACCTTCATACTATTATTCATTCCTGCTCTTTCACATGCATGCAAATGGTGTCATGATAAAAAGAGCCCTGGAAAGAATGCTAAAAAATTCCAGAGCACAGGTAATGTTTTCCTTAGTCCTCCCAGTAATGGAAGGAGACTTTGGAAGAAACAGGTGAGTCCAGAATATCAATACCTGACTCCAGGACTAGGGCCTTCACCATAACTTTGGGTTTTAAACCATGGAAGAACATTCAAGAGGCAAGATATGCTGAGGCCTGGTGGGATCCACCTGTCCTGATGGGGAGATGTGTCTTTGGGCATAAGCTGGGGGGATGGATCAAGAGAGCTTTAAAGTAGAATTGATGGGGGGAAGGAAATAATAACGGGATTACAGCAGGGAAGCTGAAGGTTGGCATGGCATCATCTGAGGATGGCAATGCTAGCGGAAACAGTCCATGGGAATACCCTGGAAATCTTGTTTTCAGGGCTTAGGAGTCCACAAGTAATGGTCAGTCTTTAAGAACCACATTTTGAAAACACAGGAAAAAGAAAAAGAAAAAAGAAAAAAGAAATCGTGTGATCCTGGAAGTGGGGTCAGGCTTTGCAGGAACAGTACAGGACTGTGGTTTGTGTAAGCAGGGAGAAGACACAAAAGGCCAAAGCTCACTTAGAGTTGAAAATGGCCAGTTCAGATAACCAGAAAGGCTTTTTCAAGTACATTGATTACAAGAGGAGGTCTAAAGCAAACGTTGCTTGTTGAATGCTTGTTGAAGATTGTCTTCTGATTAACAGGGATGAAGAAAAAGCAGAGGCATTCAATGCCTTTTTTCCTTGGTATTTAAGAATACTGATAGACCTTGGGCTGCCTGAGTTAGAGGAGCATGAGTTCCGCAAGTGTGGAATAGGTGACTTTCCATTTGTGGACACTGAAATTGTAGGGGACCAGATGTATCAGCTTACTAACCATGGCCTTCTAACCATGAATTCCAGAGAGTCTGAAAAGATTCATCCTGGAGTACTGAAGGAGCTAGTGGATGTTATAGCAAGACCCCTCTTGGTCTGCCAAAAGTCTTGAGAGTCTGAGGAGTTTGACTGGAACCCAGCTGATGTTATTTCCATAAAAAGGGCCTGAGAGAAGGCCCGGGGAACTACAGACCTGTTAGTCTAACATCAGTTCTTAAAAAAATTATGGAGAACATTATACGGTGTACTACTGAAAGCATTTAAAGAATAATGCAATCATCAGGCAGATCACCCACGTAGTGGATTAAGGGAAGGCCATGGATGTATCTTTTCTGGGTTATAGTAAGGCTTTTGATGTGGGTTCACGGTGCCCTGGCTGAACCAGATGAAGGGCAGAGCTCAAAGGGTGGTACTGAATGGCTGCAGCAGCGATCACCAGGGCTGTTCCGCAGAGTTCAATTCTAGTTCCAGTTCTGTTCAATATATTTATTAACGATCTGGATGCAGGAGTGGAATGTACCACTAGCAAGTTTGCTGATGATAGGTGCTGTTGACTCCCTAGAGGTAAAAGAGGCCTTGTAGAGGAATCTAGATAGATTGGAGCATTGAGCTATGATTACCAGGATGAAATTTAACAAGTCACATTGATGGATTCTGCACCTAGCATGGAGTAGTAATGCCGGGCACAAGTCTAAATTAAGAAAGGAGTGGTTGGAGATCAGCCCTGCAGAAAGCAATCTGGGGGTGCTGGCTGCCAGCAGGCTCACTTTGAGTCAGCAGTGTGCCCAGGCAGCCAAGATGGCAAACTGCATCCTGGGGTTTGTGCATCAAACACAACATCACTGTCTGGCCAAAAGAGTGGTTATCCCACTATGTTCAGCAATGGTGTGGCCTCAACTGGAGTTCTGTGTGCAGTTCTGGTCCCCACAATTTAAGAAGGTTGTGAAAGTCCTCGAATGCTTCCAGAGGAAGGCAACAAAGTTGGTGAAAGTCTGGAAGGAATGTCCTCTGAGGACTTTGGGCTTGTCTAGTTTGGAGAAAAGGAGGCTAAGAGGCCTCATTGCTCTCTACAGCTTCCTGAGGAGGGGAAGCAGAGAGGGAGGTACTGAGCTCTGATCTCTGGTATCCAGTGACAGGACATTTGGGAATGGTTCAAAGCTGTGCCAGGGGAGGTTTAGATTGTACAGGCTTCCTAGAGGAATGGTGATGCTCCCAGCCTGTCAGTGTTTAAGAGAGTTTGGGACAATCCCTAATAACATGCTTTAACTTGGTCAGCCCTGAACTGGTCAGGCAGTTGGATGAAGTGACCATTTTAAGTCCCTTCCAACTGAAACAGTCTAGTCTACTCTACTCTGTATACTAGTGCTGAGTTGACAAATCAGTTCTGTGAAGCCCTTTTTTACCTTCAGCCTTGGAAAGGCCAAGCATAATTTTGGATAAAAGTGGCATCTCCTGGAACTACTTAATTTGTAAAAATTTTCATTTTTTATATGAAACCCAATAGATTTTCTAGTCCTTTGACACAAAGAATTAGAAGGCAAACAAAACCAAGTAACACATACAATTCTTCATTTCATTATTTTTAAGGAAATAGCCTGCTATTTGATTAATGCTGTACTTTCAAAATCTTATTCTTAACCTCTTTTATTTTCAGCCTTAGTTAAGAAATAATTGTTTCCAGTAGTATTTTATTACTTTTAGGAATATTATTAGTGGGCCTGATGTTTATAACAGCTGGCTTTTGTAACATTAACATTGGGTGTCAGATTATTTTGTTGGCACAATTTGAGGTAGGAGTAAATAAAGCGTATTAGGTGCTTTATTACAAATTGTACCTTATAATCAAATACCTCTGCTACTAGATATATCATATGGAGAAGCAGTATTGGGCACAGCAGCACAGGTCAGGACTGGCCAATATAAGATGCTTTAAATCGTGGACCTTCAAAGCACAGGTGTGCCTCATTGTACTCCATAGCTCAGTTGGTTAGAGCATGGTGCTAATAACACCGAGGTTGTGGTTTGATCCCCATATGGGCCATTCACTTAAAGAGTTGGACTTGATCCATGTGGGTCCCTTGCAACGCAGAATATACTATAAAACCTGTGAATTACAACGTAAAAGTGCTGTGAGTTTGTACTTTTGCCTTTTTGAAGTGGCAGCTGCAGAGCATTGGACCAGCCCTCACTGCAGAGCCTGCAGCCACAAGGGTTGATTTAAGGTTCTCCAGGAAAGCAGAAATCAGAAATGAGTAGAAGACTGCAGACCTCATTTGGGAAAGGAGCAGTGCTTAATGACTGGCTGGTCAAAAGGTGGGCTTTTCTCTTAACACCGTAGATTTTTCAGTTTCCTAGATATGATGAAGAGAAATGTATAAGAATTAAGAATAGTGTGAAAGCCACAAAGTAGTCCAGCCTCCATGTCCAAGTTAAGCATTAGAACTGATACTCTTGGTAGAGTAACATTAAAAAGAAAAGGGGGGGGGAAGCCAATCTTCCTAGTATTACAAATGCAGTTACAAAATACACTGGTGTTTTTAGGTTACTGATAGCATCTGGTCACCAGGAGCATAATGTGGTAGCTCACATGAAATCAGCATATGTAACCACAGTGTGTAGTTCATGAAATGCTATGTCTTTCAGCTTGCAGAAATTGCAACTGGCCTAATAACCAAATGCAGTGTTTTAATCAAATCAGGTGATGGTCTCCTACATGAGCATTTTCAGAACCCTATAAAACTCTGCAGCCGAGGTGTGAGTGCTGTACTTCTGGATATAGTTCTTAAAAAAGGCTGGCTTTTCTTTTTATGCAGGCTTTTCTGTCAGTGAGGTTGTGGGCCTCCATGTATTGAAAGTGCTACAACTTCTGTTCTGTCATGGGCATGCCAACCTGTGCGTTTTAAATCCTGGGATTAATGAGGCGTGCCTTCCTTATATTGCTGCCAAATTCTGTGTGTCACATCTAACACATGACGTTTCTGCCTTCTGGGATGCTGCGTGCCTCAGTCCTGCCCTTTTTTGGGTGAGCCCCTCCCCTTGAGTCTAGAAAAGACTTAAAAGCAGGTAGCTGTGCAGCTTCTTGCTGTGCACGGCAGAGAAGGGGATCCACCATTGGGCTGTCATTTCCTGGCACTGGTGGTCTTCCCAACTGTTCAGGTATTTGTATCTAAAATAAGCTGGATGGTGATGGGATAAATCTGTATGAGTATAAAGTTCTCAGTGACTGGGGATGTATCTTTTAATAATCTAAGGACTTTAACTAACTGTGCTTCTTTATCATGCTTGAAATTTTTATATTGCCTTTGGAATAGTTTGAGAAGAGATTTTTCTTTTGCTGTTTGTCTGTCAAGTTAAAACATTGGCTTCAGAAATGTTTGAGGTTTTGTGCCTTTTTTGTGGAAGAAGTGACTATGTAAATGGAACTAGTTGTACTGAAGCTCAGTGAATCCTTCCGAGGAATTATGTTTTCTGCAGCACTGGTTCCACTCTCCTTCAGCTACTTTTAAGCTCACATTGTCTGTCCCGTGATTTTTGAGACACTTTTTTTTTCTTTTGCTTGCTCTTCTTATTGTTTCTTTGAAGTGATTCTTAACAAATGTTGACAAACTTTTCAGTTTAAACACCTGAAAATCAAGCAACTGCCACAGCAACATTTGCATCAGTTTTCTTCTGCCTTGCTTATGTTATGTAGTTTTAAGGTCTGAATTGCTGCTTATTCTGATCTGGTTGCATTTCTGAAACTTTTTGTAGAGAGAAAAAAGACTGTGTAGGCACATGTGTATTTTATGGTGAATCAGCCTTTGCACATACTAAGCTGCCTTCAAGGCAAGAGATAACACCCTAAATGATTTGCAGCATTTCAGAAATGGAATTTTGCTACTTGTTATCCCCTAATTACTATTTTTTTCAATCTTTTTAACAAGAACATGGGAGTTTATCCTAATGGTTGCATTTTATAAACATTATTTAACACTATATTTCTAATGAATTTATCTTCACCAGGTATTTTTGTCGCACATGCTGTTCCCAGGTTCTTTCAACAGAACATGAAAATTGGGAAAGAAGTCTAGAAATGATTGAGAATTGCTATTTTCTTCAGACAGTAAAGACAGTATCTGATGTTAGAGACCATGAACTTGGCATCTTCAATACTATTTTTCCTTCTCGGGAAGAAGGAAGGAGTACTTATAAATCTTGCTTCAGCTGTTACTTTTATGAGTCGCTAAATGAAAATACTAAAGCTGCTGTGATAAAGGTGAATGTGGCTCTGGTCACTCCACCATCTTAAAAGAAAATAACAAAACTAGTAGTCCAGAGAGGGTCAGTGATGATGGTCATTAGTGCCATATGAGGAATACCTAAGCAAGCCAGGTCTTTTCATTCAGAAGAAGAGCTGACGGAGGGCAGAGACGGTATGACAGAAAACCTTAAAAATGCTTAGTGCCAAACCCTGAGGGATGCACTATTCACTCTCTTTACTATTTTACCCCGTGTCCAACAAATGAATTTGTAGAAGTCAGATTAAAAACAAAAAGAGACATCATTCTTTATGCATCAGATAGTAGAGCTGTGCAACTCATTGCAAGAGGATGTTGTAGATGCTACCTGTTCACAGGAATTTAAGGGGAAACTGGAAAAATACATGAAAGAGTAATTAATAGAATCATAAAATCAACCGGGTTGGAAAGGACCTCCAAGATCAAGTCCAACCCTTGATCCAACACCAGAACACAGGAAACATTCATAGATGTTTCCTGTATATAAAGAAACTACATCCTGCTGTTCCCTAGACATCTGTTTTACCACTGTGGTAGAGAGAATATTGAACTAGGTCATCCTTATATTTTCTAGGTCTTTAGATAGACCTTATATTTTTGTGTATATTCTAAAAGCCTGTTTTTTTAAATGGTCATCCTGAAATATCGTATCAATCTATTTTGCTGCTTATAATGTTTGTTGTGGTTAGTGACTGAGAAAAAATTAACCAAGAGTATTGCTCAATACTATTCCACCATCATTTGTAAATGCAGAACTGGTTTACACTGTTGCAGGAAGATTACCTCATATCTACTGCTTGTAACACAAGCAGTTCTGATGACAGAAAATATTGCAGGCCGTTGTTTCAATTTAGACTTAATTCAATCTAATTTTCCTATACCTGAAGAGTCGTGTTCTAGAATGAAGTGTTATTTCCTTGTTTGTTTTAGTTTTTAGGAATGGAGAAGCTGATCGTTTGTGCGCACAAAAGGCAAAATGCTCTCTGTAGGCTGATTTGCTTTCCGTGGGCTGGAGGTGGAACTTCTCAACTTGCTCAGTGGGGCAAACGGTTAAGCAACTCAATTGAAGGTTTGTCATTTTTGTAGTTAAAGCACAAGTCTGAAATACACAGTAGCCCAATTTTCTGAATGGAATATAATATTCTTGAGATAACTGGAATCTTTATCCAATGGGTCTTCTCCAGAAAGGATGGAACTAGCATTCATTAGGAAGTAGCATTTCCATCAGGGTGCATTTTCTGTACCACATTGCATCAAATTATATTTGACTAGGTTTAAAGGTTATATCCTCAGAGCTAAGTTTCACAAGACCGTAGTATGGTTGACTGCTTCAGAAACTATTGGTATGATTCATGAACAGAATACACTGCATATTGCTAATATGCCAGGGTAACGGTGAAGATATGAGAACCATTTTTAATGTTGAGAGGCTGCACAGAGTATCTGTTATCCATTGTTTGCACTTCTTGTATCAAAACTGAAGTTCAAACTATGAATTTATAACAGTGAAATGACATTAAGTTACACTACAAAGTACTTCTCATTGCTCTCAAGCTGTATCAGCACTAAAAAAGATCCATTGCTTGAACTATCTGAAGAGAAACCAAGGCCATTTTACAGACCTTCCACAAAGAAAAAAATAATTTTATATTTACGAGCATTGCCACTGCAGTTGTACCAGTCCTCTAAATGCTCATATGCTTTCTGGTAAGCATTTGCACAAGTCACGTTAAACTTTTAAATTTTCCTTGAAACGGAAAAAAAAAAAGGAAAGAAATAAAAGAGGTTTTTTCCACTGGAACTACCTCCAACAAAGTTACTAAGAAAACAGCTTAGGAGCAACTGCAGACACAGATTAATAAAATCAGGGTGTAGCATGGTTTCTCAGAGATGGTTTCTGCAGAAAGAAAGTACAGAAGATGCAAACATTTCTGTACTGCTAGTGTCGTATTAAGTAGTGGTTTATTCTATCTATTCTAAAATACTTTGTGTCTGACCCATTACTTCCACATGAGTTCAACAGTATGCATTATATCAAAGAGAGTTCAGAAAATCAACATTTTTTTCTGATATATTCATTCCTTACTTTCACTAAACAGCGAGAGGAAAATCCCCAGTTTTGAAAGGAATATAATAAAAGTATGTAAAATGTCCTTCCAGATAAATATAAGTAAATATAAATGTCCATCAATTTGTACTATGATTACACATTTTACTACGTGTAATGCTCAAGAGCTGACAGAAGAAAACAGGGATTGTACAATGCTAATATAGTTTAACTTTATAATGCTGCCCTTGGAAGGATGTATTTTACACACCCCTTAACTTACTATTATTGAAATTAATGAATTTGTGGTTGTTATTAACCTAATAGTAATAAAGTTGCTTTCAAACCTCAGCTGAAATCAAGACCTTGTGGATTCTGAGCCAAGGCACTTAACAATCAGATCAACTGGAGAATAAATCAGATCAATTTGTGAGTAAAGGAAGGAATAGAAATCTAATCTCTCATATGATTAAAACAGAGTAGTAGCAATAGTTAATACATGGTATCAACTGTAAGAAGGATTAATTTAAATAATCTGTATATTCTGCATAATAATTAAAAAATTTAAATTATTTTATTGTATCTATTTGAAATAACTATAATCCTTTTCTCTTGCTTCCTCCACCTCTTCTGCAGTGTTCTGTGTAAGGTATCCTGGAAGAGAAACTCGTCTTAATGAGCCTTTTGCAAAAGACATGACAAGCATGGTTAATGAAGTTACAACTGTTTTGTTAAAAGAACTGCAAGAAAAACCATTTGCATTTTTTGGTCACAGGTAAAAATATATACATTTTTAGATACCTCAGTGAAGGAGCTTCTATCTCTGAACTCGTTGAGTAGACAGTTACTTGTTTTTATATGCAAAAATTTTAGGAAAATACGCTTGTCCAAAGATCTTTTGTCAAGTCATCCTAAAACATGCTGTTGCTCTAAAAGACTGGTTATTTATTTATTGCTTCAGGCACAACATCTGAAGATGTTGTGCTTCTGATAAATTATAATTTATTATGGCATTTATTTTTAATATTTGTGTCAGTTTTTGATTTATATGAATGCAGGGGGTGAACCATTCGGGAAACACAGATTTTGAATACTGCTTAGTCCAAAGTATTCAAAATAACTGTTCTTATTGCAAATTAAGGAGACTACTAAAAGAAAAACTAAGAAGAGGTTTGATTTGTAAAACTAGACTGTGTAGGAATACACTTCATGTCAATTTACAAATATCATTATTATTTATATGACATACATGGCTTCAGTAACTGTTCAAGATATCCAGTTAGCACTGAAATTCAAACTATGTTTAAATTTTCCAGGTTTTATGTATGTTTTTGCTTACTTCGCTTTAATTTCTCTTTTCACTGCAGTTTTGGATCTTACCTGAGTTTTGCAGTGGCACTACATTTGAAAGAAAAGTATGGACTAGAGCCGGTCCATCTTTTTGTGTCAGGGGCACATGCCCCAAATGTAAGTTGCAGAGTCATTAACAATATGAAACAAAACAGTACATTAGCTATCAAGAGTAAAAATAACATTTGACAGTGTGGCATGAAAATTACTTTTAATACAAAATGAGCATTGCTTCAGAGTCTATGGAGAAAAGTTTTTTCTTAGAGGAAATTAATTCTGAGGTGGATGCAGAACTTTGCACTACACAATATTCACTGCTGCTAGCTGACGACAGCCTCAGGAGAACAGTCTCCTTAAGCTAATGCTACCTTTTTTGAATACTGTGTTATTTACTATGGCCTTTGGCTTAAAACTAAAAAAGTAATCAAACCAAAATACTAAGTGGCTCTCCCTTCTCTGTGACATGTGAAATAACTGTCTTAACCTAGTCTTTCATAAACTGCCTGCATCAGCCCTCAGTACATTTGTCCATTTATTTCTTTCCCTTGTTCTTTGTTGGATTTTTAATCAGTTTCTTCTCAGGCTCTGCTGGTTCTGCTAGTCTTTCTCAGGAAAACAGCAGTGAAGTGGCTTTTTCCCAGTCCTCCTGTCCTCAGTCAGCTTTTGCTATTTCCATTCTTCTGTTTCTGGGGCTTCTTAGCAATCCTTAGTATGAGCTAGTGATTCATGGAAGCAATTGTTATTCCTGCAAATTTCCATAATCAGTTGGTCTCTTCAGTCCTACATTAGTCAGGTTTATGTCCACTGCTAGGCTTTTCTTTCTCTTGAACAGATTATTTTATTAGGTGCATTTCAATAGTAAGAGTCAAATTTGAACAAAACTGAATTAATGGTTATTTGTCTGTGGAAGTTTCAGACCTGGAAGATACTTGGCTCAGTCATAATTTGTAAATTTACAAACCCTTTCCAAGAAGTGTTCTCTGTGGATGGTAAATTAATCAGCCATTGTATTTTGGACATGAAGAATTATTGTACTTTTTACTAAAATGATTTTTAATGAAAAGATAATTTAAAGTATATTACATAGAACACCTCATTTGTTTTGTCTGGTACTGACAGTCTGAAGCAATTCTTCCAATCAAAAGCATTTCTGTATCTGATGCAAAAGATGAAGACGTTATTGAATATCTACAAACTGTAGGAGGAACTCCTTCTCTGCTTCTACATAACGAAGACATTAGGAAAGATCTGCTGCTTACTTTTAAAGAAGACTTTAGAGTGTTGCAGACATTTTCGTAAGTTTTACAATTTTGTATTGCATTTGTATTTTATATTTTTACTTCTGTCTGATCATGTCAGGTTTTTTCTTTCTTCATATTTTGTTCTCATTTCTGTTATAAAAAGATTATGAAACAGTAAATAGTTCTCTCCTTTGTGTGTTTTTCTATTTGTTTTCTAGTATTTAAGCCCTAGATGAAAACACTGCTTACTGTATCAACCACGGCAGTACCAAACTGTTACTGCAGTAGTGAACGTGTCATGGTAGAATTACAGGTCTACTGAGGATCCACAGTTAACAGCCACTAAAAGGGAATATTCTCTCATCTTTTATTGTTTTCTGAGGCTACTAATCTCAGCTGATCATGCTTCAGGATCACTGCATTCACCCTCCTGATCCAAGATCCCCTAATCTAACCAGAAGCAAAGAGTCCTTGTGTTCTGGGCACCTTGAGAGCAACCAGCTTCTTCTGTCCTAACTGCTGTCCCCAGTGGATGTTACACGACAGCCAACGTGGCTGAGTGGTTAAGGTTTCTTACCTTGGCAGAGACAACGATACTCTTGGATGTGGGACTCATTTTGGTCTTAGGAACCTGACACTGAAAGGCCCTGAAACATTAGAACTTGAATATAAGCAGGTAACATAATTGTTTATGGTAGGTGAGAATTTTTATTGCAGGCTGAAGCTCTTTTTCTCCCCTAATTATAGGGTCATTCTTTCTTTACAATTTTAGACCTAATTGCAGTAGGGCAAGGAGCTAAGAACCTTCCAGATGTGGTAATTTCTTCTGATATTCTGCATAATCTAATTCCTGAAGTTTGTTAGATTTTGAAGGAGAATTAAAAAGTTATTTTGTATGTGGAAGCAAATTCCAAATATGGGTATCTTATTGCATGTTTTAGGACTACTTTTTATGTTCACAGTTTTGAGAAGGCAGAAATGGATATCCCCTTCTCTTGTGATATTACCTGCTTTAATGGGGGTGATGATAAACCATATGATTTACAAGGTACTTTTCTTAAATGGTTTTCCTCTTATACTTACGCATTTTCCGTTGAATTGCATCTTCTAGAGTCTTTTATCTCCTTCTTAAATGAAACAAACCAACAGAGCAGTCTCATGTTGATATAGGATTTAAAATAATTGTTAAATAATAATTTTGAAATAGTTATGTAAAATTGTTACAATAGTTGACATTTTTCTGACATATCTTTTTCAGGTTGGCAAGAACTAACAAGTGGAGATACATCCTTTTATGAGCTTCCTGGAGATCACTTTTATCTGCTAGAACCCTCTAATGAAATTTTCTTGACAAAACACATAACAAGATGCATAGAAAATGCTGGTCTATGAGTATTTCCCTCAATTTTAATAGCAGAAGGTGTAATATTAGTCCACAGCACTTCATAAGTCATTATTTCTGTACATTGCATGCAGTTATGCCTGAGTTGTTCTGTTCGTCCTCTGTAATCCTTTAAAAGGGGGAGTTTTCCTGAAAATAAATGTTGGCTTTGTCTTAAAAAAAAAGGTTTCATCTTTTCCCTCTTCTCATCTTGCATGTGCACAAACTCTTCACTTCATTCCATAACATCATTTGAAAAAAATGACAGCTATGTTTTTTTACTTCTAGAGCTTCTGTTTGCCTGCTCCTGTAAATATGCTAAATATAATTTAATACCCACAAAAATCCACAATTCTTACAGAAAGCTTAATTTATTAGGTTCAAATTTATTTAAAATAAGATACAATCTAAAAATAGAGTATATATATAAATACCCTTCACAGTCAGCTTATGCTTAAAAGATATTAGTCAGACTACACAGTATGGAGTTAGTATTGCAGTGTTCTCAACAGAGCTAGTTCATTAGCCACTGAAGAGTTAATTATTAGTGGGAATTACTTTGAATATTCTAGATCCCATATTTTTCTACCATTGCTTTTGCTTTAGAGATATAGGCATTCATGGCATCCTCCTTTGATAAACCTGTAAAGGAAAGTAGGAATCATTATCTTTCCTCATTTGTCCTCTAAACATGACTACATGATGTAAATTTAATTGGTTTAACACCTTTTTTCAGGTTCCATGCCTCCCATTTGGCTTTGCCTTTCAAATCTAGCATTCCTGGACATTCTGCCAAAATAAAAGCATACGTTTGATTATCATGCTGATTTACATAACATTAGCTTGATTTCATCAAGATATGGGAGTAAATGTGAAGCATATATAGGAATACCAATATTAATATCTCCAACAGTAGCCTGTTTGTAGAATCCATATAGTTCCTTCAGTTCTTCATCAGTTGGTCTTGTTTTTAATTTTTTTACATCTTCTGCAGCACCATCAAAGTCAGCCTGATGAAAGAACAGAAAGTGTTGGTTTTCCTCTCAAGGGGCGTGCTTAAAACATGAGGCATAGGACACACAGTAGTATCATTACATATTCTCAATCACTCGCTTGGGTTTAGTGGTAAGTCTAGGCGTTTATCCATGAAAGAAGCTTAATGAAACTGTACGTCATTAGAAAAGGAACTAGGATTACATAGCTGATAGGGTCTGTACTTCTAAGATAAATAAACAGTTTTACATCTAAACACTTGGGACCATTACAGGCTATCTAGTGTCAGAATAGCTACAGATATATTCATGCAGGCAGCCTCCACAATTTATGTAGTGCGTGTGTTTCACAGTCACACTGTGGGTATGAAGGTGTTCATTGAACTTTACACCCCAGCAGTAATCTCTGCTTCCATACTGTTGATTCGAGTGGTGGAGCTTGAAAACCCTCTGAGGGGCACTGCCCACTTCACCCTTCATTTCCACTGCTCTGCTGACAGCATAGTAGGTGATCAACAGCTGGCACAGAGATGCCTCACGGGGATGAGCAGTGCTACTGCCAGGACCACCTTCCACACCCAGCTCTCAAACACAGTGGAGCACAAGAGTGCACTGTAAATTTACTCCTTTCATCATCATGCATCACACATTCACATCAACCTGAGGCCATATAGTGGGTCTCGGGCTAGACTCTGGCGTTCTGTCTCATGCTCAGGACATTTCAGAGAGACAGATTTCATACAGTGACCAGTGACCCATCAGGTCACTGCACTACAATGCAAAAAGGTATAGGTACTTTCATATGCTATATGCTGGTTTCAATAATTAGTTTAGCTTTTAAGTTGGATCTGCATTTGCAGATAGAAGCACACTATATCCTGCAAGATGTGCTATGACACACACACACACACACATATATATATAAAATGTAAAAAAAAAAATCTTAAAACTTGGGTCTTAAATCAGCAACATATTCAGCATTGGTTTCATCATGTATGCTGTAGCTCTCTTTAAATCATTGAGATCCTAGCATTACCTAAGAAATCTGTACTGTGCTTCTTTAGACCACCTTTTCCCTTAGTTACAGAAAAACTTTTTTTTTTTTTAAATAAGAAAACCTAATGCATGTTTGTCTCCTTAACTGATGCCTTTCTCCTTGGCAAGCGACTGTGCTGGGTAGATCAGGTGATAGAAATAAGCAAGTATGAATGAGAGCTGGGCTCACTACAGCATTCTGTATTTAAACAGAGAAAAAGTATAAGAGAAAGGCTATTTCTGGTTTTAAATCTAAGAAGAAAAAATTAGAAATAATTTAATTAGAGAGTGACGCTCATGGATCTTTCTTCTCAGAAAGGCCCCTTCATGGAATCATGAAACTACATATTCATTGACGTAAGGAGACATCAGCTGGTGGCTGCATTAAGGCAAGAGTAGCAGGTGAAATAGGGTAAGGGCAGGCCACTCTCCCACCAAATGAGTCACCTCTGTCTCCTGAGATGGAATTCACTTTTTTTAATTTTGGTATGGAAATTTAGTTTGGCTAGTGAGGTTCCCCAGACACAAACTTCTGAGGAATTTCTAATTTTTTTGCAAAATTTTCAACTGCCATTTGAAACCCACCAAGGGAAAGCACAAGTCTCCTAATAATAAAAGTGCATGCCTTAGGAGAATGTACATCTGTAACACCAGTTATGACAAGGAGCAGCAGGCAGAGAGGTACATTTAAAAGGGATGTTTTCAAAAAATCATGATGTACAATTAAAAGGGTGTTCTAGCAAAGGAATGCTCCCTGCAAAGCAGCAATTAAAAATAAATCTTGAATCTTCTTTAAACTGCAGCTATGAATTCACAGAACATTACACAGGAAGGGTTCATGATGATAATACATATCTCTAGCTGTCAGTTTGTAGCACTCTTAAAAATGCAATGGAAGGAAAAGACAAAACCCTGCAGCAATGAGGATGCTTTTTAACAAATAGTCTTCCAACTCAGTGAGAACCACAGTGTTTGCATAACTGACAAGCAGGAGTTTCTGGGAGATTCCCACCAAGGCCTCCCAGAACCAAATGCCCAGTAGTGGAGGCAGGAATACAGAGAACAACTGATGTGTTAGAACTGATAAAGACTATTTTAAGACATGGTGCTGTTCTATTTTGAATGTAACAATCCTTCTGAGAATTAGCAAGATTCCAAGTGCAATTTGTCTGTTTAAAACTCTGAAACTTGGTCATTCTATACAGTATACTATTTGGCAGAGCTTCCGGAATAAATTCTACATCAAATTACTTCCAAATTATATTCTTAAATCTAAAACTTTGTAGACTGAAACCATGTAACTAGTTAGGCAGTTTGTTCCTGTTTTAATAAAAATAATTCTCAATATTACTAGAATGCAACTATACCACAGAATCACTGAAAAACAAGAAGCTTTAAGTCCAACTTCTTGTGGCTGATTTCTTTTAAGAACTAAACACTGGATTTTTTTTTTTAACCAACCGAGTATTTGGGAGCACTTCAAGACAAATACAGGATTTTTCTAGAATAAAAAACCAAAAGGCTCAGGATATGTTTATATGTTTTGTACATATGTTATATATAATTTAGATAAACAAAAATCGTGTGCCCTAGACTACATATAAAAGCTGAATCAATAATGTTGAAATGACCTTACAGCATCACTTCTCAGCTTTTTTTTTGTAATATTAATATTTGCTTTCATGAAAGCCTTGCAATCTTTATTTTTCGTCTTATGCTGTATTGTCTCTTGTTCTCCTTCTGCAGGGTAACTGTACCTGGAATTCCTTCGACTACCTGAAATACTTCAGCAAGCTCAGATGTTAAGCTCACTTTTAATTTTTCACCAAAAATTGACAAGGGCCATAGAAAGTAATTAAATTACACTTTCCTTCCTTTCAGAAGCAAAATCAGAAAGGTGAACCCACATGTTTGAGGCCAGCAAGTCACAACACAGGGAGAGAATTTGGGGTTTGGGGCAAAAGTGCCCTGCCCTGTGCCTTACGCACAGTGTAAGTGCCTTCAGCCTGGGAGCAGGGAGGGGACACCTCTATAAGCAGAATAGGAGTCTGAACTCCATACCTATGAGATTGCTCGTATGACTTTTTATTTCACTGTTCCTTGACAAACAGGTGGCTTATCCCTCCATGGAAATAAACCTGTTCCACTTTGTGTTTATCTCAAGGCAGAAGCAAGGACATAGGCACATACTGCAGAGGAACTCACATGCTCTGAATTTACATCCCAGCCTACCTCTGAGTCACTCCAGTCATGCCACGCTGCTGCACAGTGTTTCACACGCTGCAGCATTAGGATATAAAGGAGTTCTGTACTTAAGTAGCAAGACTGTAGTCTAATTACACAAAAATACGTCCTCCTATGCACTAACAACAGTATGAAAATAAATGTGATGACTCATCATACTTAAGATTTTTTTAATTGATAAAATTTTATTAAAAAGAATATTTCACTCAAGCCAAATACCAGTAATGTGACATTCTTGACTCTACCTATCACTGACTTCTCGTCACAGACATGTCTTAATATTATCCATACCAATGCAAACAAAAGCAGCATTCATGCTCTTTAACTGTAAGATTAAGAAGTGGTATCAGTAATAAAACATAACTGGGTTGCCACACGTTATTTGAAGTTTAAATAAATTACTACTGCGTGGGAGCCTCTGGCAGCATTGACATACAAGGACCATTCAAGTCAGCAGAAATCTTCCATGTGTCTTGAATTGTTTTCTGATCCAAACTTCTATCCTGGTTTTTGCTGGGATAGAGTTCATTTTTCTTCCTAGTAGCTGGTACAGTGCTGTGTTTTGGATTCAGTACTAGAATAGTGCTGATAACACACTGATGCTTCGGTTGTTGCTGAGCAGTGCTTACACTGAGCCAAGGACTTCCAGTGCCTCATGCTCTGACAGTGAGGAGGGGCACAAGAAGCTGGGGGGGAGCAGAGTCAGGACAGCTGACCCAAACTGGCCAAAGGGATATTCCACACTACAGAACATCATGCCCAGTATATAAACTGGGGGGATCGTCCAGGAGGGGCTGACTGCAGCTCAGGGATGGGCTTGGCACTGATCAGCAGGTGGTGAGCAATTGTGTTGTGCATCACTTGTTTCTCTTGGGTTTTATTGTGCATGCCCTCTCTCTTTTTTATTACTATTAACAAATTTTATATATTATATTTAAATTAGCTTTAATTACTAAACTAGTCTTATCTCAACCCACGAGTTTCTATTTTTTTTTCCCCTGATTCTCCTCCCCATCCCATGGTGGGGGAAAGGGTAACAAGTGGCTGCATGGTCCTTATTTGCTAGCTGGGGTTGAACCACAACTTCAGAGTAAGAATGAACCAGAAGCACTGTTAGATTATACAAGACAAAAAATAAAAAAAATAAATTAAGGAACCCATCAAGTTAATAACCTTATCTTCACATAGTTTTATTCTATATGCATCAATAGGCAAGTATCACAAGATACTGTTTAAAAATATGCAAACACATATCTTGCAGAGCAAGAAATGTGCAGAAATGAAATATAAATACTAAACATAAATACTAATATAAATACTAAACATTTCTTTTTTCATCCCCCTCTAACCAATCACTGCGCACAGACTGCTGCTTAGAATTTGCCTGCTTACACAACATGCTTATGAGCAGCCTATAAAAATATAATTTGCTTTTAATCATGTGCCAATAAAATTCCCTTTCACTCCTCAAATTAAAAGCATAAAAATATCTACAGAAAAACACATGTACTAGGGATAAATGCACAAATTATCAGACTATTATCACATACTCCCTTTTTGCAAAGGAAAAAACATTCTTCATTTACAGCAGAATATTTTAACAGTTTGCAAAACTTATAAATATTTTAAGCCTCCCTAATGAAAACATTATTAAGTTGTCCTCATTCCCATATAGCTTGATTCAATAAATTTTTATCGATATGGATGCTGGCTGTCAACCAAACCTATGTGGATAGAAAACCTCTATGTCTAATACAGAATATGTAAAGACATTGCAGTATTTCAACCACTGATTTTTATGTGAAAGTGTAACTGCATATTGCAATGGAACAGCATATCATACTGCACTCAGCTCTTTCTAAGTGTGATTTATGGCTCATTGCTTAATCATAAGGCTAATAAATTCATTTTCTAGAGTAAACTCAAGGCAGAATAAAACAAACTATAATTTCGGTGATCATTAATTAAACAAAGGTGGTGTTATGTTTGGGATTTGGCAGTTCTGACCCACTGAAGAAATAGTTTTCTTCTTCTTAGCTGTAACACACCACAATGAAACCTCTGTTCTATTCAACATAATTGCAGCTCAGAAGAAAATTGCTGAGCTACTGGTAATGTACTCCCTGCATCTAGGTCAGAGCATTGTGTTGTCCACTCTTTGCAAACTAACCAAGCTGAGAGAGACATTATAATGAGACCAGGATAAAAGGGCTTGCAAATCTTGAAGTGAAAGGGATAACAGGAAAGCCTAACAAAGAAAAACAGCCTAATCCATCACGGCATGGGTAAGACAAGGGAAGTATTCATAGTTTCTCAAAAATGTAGGAGGCTAAATGCCAGCAATGAAGATAATTTCCCCAAGAACTATTTAAAGCCCTACTCAGAGAGAAGGTAGAAGGAAGCTCTCTCTAGCCAGAAGGTAGGAAGTAGAAGCTTTACTACAACAACACAAGCCCATCAAAATGTACCACTCCAAAGATGCACACTATCTAAAAAAATACACATAACTCGCTTAAAAATTATTCATGCTTCCAAATGCACATATACCACTGCCTCAATGTTAGAAGTTTCCCTCCTCATTTTAGAGCTCTAAGTAACTATCTAGATCCTAAAAACATAAGTATTTACCTGCCTTTCAACGCCTAACTCAGTCCTGGCAAACTCAAATGCAGACGCCAAGAAAAATAATTCACGCATGCTCTAAACAGGTAAGGCTCCAAAAAATTATATGACCTATGAATAGTACAAAATAACCAGCATGTTTCTCACCCTCCAATTGTAGGAAAGTAATGCATTATTTAACCTCCAAGGGTTTAGGCAAATTTCCCTTGCTGCAAGGTAACCTCGATTTTGCAGTACTAATCCTTATGCTGCAGAAATACCGCAGTCTCCAACACGGCATTGCACAGATAGACAGTGCATCCCTTGCCTCTCCTCTCCTCGCGTCTCTGTCTCACCAGATGCAGAACTGCTTACCTGGAGAGTCATGATGCTGCGAGGATGGATGCCCAGAGAGCGGCCTCCTTCCTTCCGCGGCGGGGACGCGGCGCCTCTGCCTGAGGGCTCCCGCGGCGCGGGCGCGGTGGCGCTGGGATGGTCCCAGTGACCTCAGCTCCCGGCTGAGGCACGACACAGGATCGCTCCCGCTGCGCCTCCCGGGCCCTGCCGGCACCACTGAGCTGCTGCGAACCCCAGGGAATGGGCGGTGGGGGCAGTGAGCATTAAGCCCACAGTCGTTTCCTCAGAAAGCCTGAGCTCGTTTCCATACCACTGAGGATTAGGCCACCAGGCTTGGAGAGCAGCGATACAGCAGGATCCTCAAGCCATTTGTTTGCAAAAGAAATTTCTTGGGTGACTTGAACGGCAAGCAGCCCGGTTGTTGCTGCTGGTCCCTCTGCTGCAGCCCCTGCCCGTGCCCACGCCCAGCCCGGCCTGGGACCTCGCATTGTCCAGCTGCAACTGAGGAAAACGTGCAGGTCATCCCGGGGATAGATACCTCACACAAGCAGCTACACACACAAAGTACCTTGTGAATGCTGGGTTTTAATTTGTACCACTAAATACAGAATAAAAAGAATATTAATTGATAAACTAGCCTACAACTGTAACCATTGAAGGGAAAAAAAATTCCATCCCTGCTTATCTATTCTATCCATTAATAAATTATTTATTTATATTCACACCTCTTTACATTTATGTTCATCATTCCCTGAGCATAGTTTGATCACAATACTGTGTGCTTCTGCATTTTTTTAACCCTCTAACTTCCATAAAACCGTGAAAAAGAGTGTTTTCTTTCAGATTAAGTCCACAGTAAATTAAGCCAGGATTTAACAAGAAAAAAAACCATGTAAATTTCAGTAAATACAAGACTTTAAATAAATTTGAAAACAACTCTGAAGCGCCGAAGCCCTTATTCCTGCTGGGGAAGCTCTGCTCTTTCAGGCCCAGAGGCTGCGTGTAACCACACAGTGCACTGAGGTGAATGTAGAAACTGAATGTGTGTGTCAAGATTTGTTAATGGCTCGGGGCAGACCGTGGGAAACACCGAACGTAACCAGTCCTTGCGTGTCATCTTAGTTACAGAATGTAATGTACGTGCACAGTATGGTGCGTTATTGCACTGCAGCGAGGTTGCTGTGAAGTCCCTATGAAGCACCCGGTGACTTGGCCACGATGCCGCTAGCTGACATATGACAAGGCAAATCTGCTATCGCCTCTGCGCCCATTATCGGGACAGCTCAAAACGCGGGAGCGCCAATGCTAAACGTGGGGTGAGGCCCGCCGGGCGCAGGCTCCCGGCACCAGCGCTTCAGTGCTGCCTTCCACCAACGCAACGCGGTTTCTCCGTGTGGCACCGACCGCAGCCCGGGCACCGGCACAGTTAGATGCGGTGCTATCTGGCGGTCTCCGCTGCCCGCCCGCGGCGCCTGCCCGCTCGCCCTGCCTGCCGAGCCGCCCCAGCCGGGACCGGGACTCGGCGGCTCCGCGCTGCACTCGCCGCCCGCGGGGCATTTCTCGGCCATCCGAGCCCCCCTCCCTGCGGCTGCCGCGCTGCTCCTCCTCAGCCCGCTCCGGACGAGGTCCCGGGGCGGGAGGAGGCGGGGCGGGGGCGGGGACACGGGCGGAGCGGGGCCGAGCTGTGGCGGCGGCGGCGTGTGCGCGGAGCGGGACCCGGGCGGCGCGGCCGAGGTAGGGCGGGCTCCGCGCGGGCGGGCGTGGGGCATTGCGGGCCGGGCCCCGCGGGCGGGCAGCGCAGACCGCCCCGCTCCCGCGGCCGCAGCGTTTGCGCGGGGCCCGGCCCGGCCTGGCCCGGCCCAGTCCGCAGGTGCTCGGCGGGCGGGCGGCGGCCCGGGGAGCGGGTGCTCGGTCCCGGCGGCGGGGCCGAGGGGGCGGCTGGAGCCCCCGCCCCAGGCACCCACCGCCGGCAGCGCGTCCTGCCGGGCTGTGCTCTGACCCGCGTTTCTCTGTGTCGGGAGCAGGCGGCGACCGCGGAGCGGAGCGGAAGGGGCTGGAGGCGGTTCCTGGCGGATGCCAACGTGGGCGGTGCTTCTCCTGTTCTCCCTTCCGCAGGAAGCGAAGGGGTCGTGACAGCGGCGCGAGGTGGAGAAGCCCGGTGTTTCTGGTTTTTATCTTATCCTTGCACGCTTGTTTTCCTCAGCAGTACCCATTCTGGAAAGAAAACTGTAATCTTTCAGCTGGGAAATCCTTCATGTTTTGCTTCTTTCTCATACACGAGGCTGTTGCTAACTTTGCTTGATACCCCCTGTAAAAAGTCATCAGAGCATCCCCAGTTGAAAGCTTTTAAAAGATATAACCCAGAGCTAATTTTTTTAAGTTGTCATAAGCTTCCATTTTAACTCGGTCGCATTTTAGGTTTCTAGTGGTCGTTTCTGCTTTTTGGTTGTTGCCACTATGATGATAGCAAAAGGGATTAGATAACTGCATGAATGATAGCTCCATAAAGGACTAATAGGGTAAGCTGTCAGATCTTCTTACATCCCAGATGCAACCATTCTGTGTGTTTGCGAGCTGAGGAGAATGGCAGCCTGTCCTTCCCTAACAGTTTCTCCAGTTCCTGCTGCTGGAGACACAGCAGGGCTGGATGGGCCTTTGCTGGGGTGGCCCAGGGCATTTCATAGGGTTCACAGCATAAATTAATAAGAGTCTGAGGCAGATCTCTGTCATGCCTTCCAAATGCAGAAAAACACAAAGGCATGAAGTAAAGACTGAAAAGACAAATTTCTAAAAATCTTAAATAAATTTAGGGACTTGGAGCTTGTTTCATGTTGCTATTCAGCTTTTTTTTTTTTCTCCCATGCATGGGGGACAATGCAGCTGTGCAACAGCAAAAATGTAGTGGTCCTTCAACCTGTGACTCTGGGGGTGGGGTAGTTGATTGGGGTTTTTGTTTGTTTTTTTACATCTGTAATACCTCCAGCTGCTTTTGTTCAGCTTCTGAAGGGTTTCGTCACTGCTGTTGCCTTGCTGTCCAGTCTAGTTTTTTTATTATTTATAAACAAAAAAAAGCAACACAGCATCTGCCTTGTGGAAGATGTGTGAAGGATTAGCACTGAGCACTGTGAGGAGGGTGATAGTTGCCAATATCACTTTGACATAGGATATTTGACATTTCTTTTCTGCATTCCCAAAAGAGGCTTGTGGTAATGATGTTCACAGCAAACAGTACAGTACTTCAACTAATGTCTCTTTCTTCCCTAGGGTGACAAAACACAGAAGAACCTCAGGATGTCTGTAATTCAGCAAGGGACGGCAACACTTCGTAAAGCAAAGAAAATCACAGTAAAAACGTGTCTAGATAACCCCTTTGTTTTTCAGTGGAAAACCATAGATGGAAAAGATATGCATTTCATACTACAGACCTTAGAAGAAAGGATTAAACATGTTGGACTTAAAAAGATTGAGAGTCCAAGAAAGAAAAAACGTTCCTTTACAAAAAAACAAATGGAAAGAAAGTGCGATGCTAGCACCAACAAACTCCCTAAAGAGGAGGAAACAGAAAGCCATCAACAAAAACCAGGGTGGACTGACATAAGTATCAGAAGACAGCTTGCTATTGGAGTTAATGAAGTTACAAAAGCATTGGAAAGAAATGAACTGCTTCTCTTGCTGGTGTGCAAGTCTGCAAAGCCTGCCATGATCACATCACATCTCATTGAGCTGAGCGCAAGTCGAGCCACACCCGCAGGCCAAGTGCCCCGGCTCAGTGAAACAGTCGCGCCACTTCTTGGCTTAACATCCATTTTAGCACTAGGCTTCAAAAAGCAGTCCGATAAATTTACTGAAACAATAGAAGCAATAATTCCAAAGATACCAGCACTGGAAGTGCCGTGGTTTCAGTACAGAACTGAAGAATCTGTGGCTTATGCAGATACAGATTCTTCAGAAAACGAGGAACCTGACAAACTTGCAGACACACTGGGGGATGAGCTCACAAGCCAGAAGCGGAAACGTACAGAAAGCAATCAGCCTGATCTTTCAAATGTAATTTTGCAGCCTTTGAAAATCAAGAAACTTGTCCCAAATCCCAATAAGATAAAGAAACCACCTCGCAAAAAGAAAAAAGCTGTTTCAGCATAACTGATTGTAGTTTGGTTCTATTAAACTGATTTTTTACATGCAGAATGGAGTATAGTCCTAACTGAACAATCTTTCTAGGCTTTACAGTATAAAGCTCTTGAATACAAGGTGAATTTTATGTTGCATTCGGTTGAGGTACTTTCTGCTTTAATAAAGAATATTGCTCAGACTTAAGTGTCAGTCTTTATCTGGGGGTAAGTATTTCATTTGTAGTTGGAGATCAGAGAGTTAAAGTTGGCAATGAACATGGCAAAGTAATTTTAAGAGATAATTAATACATCTCTGGAATTAATGCAAAGCATTAAATGAACTTTGTATCTTTACACAGATGAACATGCTTTAAGCAAAACAGATTTAAGTATAATTACTCAAACAAATCAATACCAAAAGTGAAAGTTTATTTAAACAAAGGTCCATGCCAGTATAAGTCTTTTAAAGCTGGTTTCAAGTAAACAGCTGTAACAGCACAGGCAGACTTCCCTTCTGAACTCTATTATAGTTTTTTCTGTTGAACAATAAACTTGTTTTGGTCACAAATGTATGCAGACTTGGGTTTCACCTGATACCTGGTGCATGGTATGCTGGAGGAAAAGCTTTATTTTCAGATACAAAACACAACCAAATTACTACTGCTGCAGTATGAAAAAAAATACTTCCATTATTAACACAATTCCTGTAAGAAAATGTAAATCTAAACTCAATTAGATTTATAAATGAAGTCTAAAATTATTTCCCAGGAAATTGAGATAAGCCATATACTGTTGTATATAAAGTAGATGAGAGCTATAAGTGCTACAAGACTGAAAACATACCACGTAACTTTTGATTTTCCTTTAGTTTTACTGGGGACTATGAACAGTTTCCTAATGAGACAGTTGTATTATAGTAAGGAAGGGGAATATTGCTGCAATTCAGACAATCAACAGCCTAGGAATTTACTTGTAGAAGAAAGCTTAAAATAACTTAACTGAGTTACTTCGTAGTTCCTTAAAGGTGGAATTTACACATAGTTTTCAGAGATTTGCTGATCCAAACTTCCAGTGCCATCCAATAACTCATCTGTCTCTTGGATTTATTTAGAAATTACTTAAGTCCATGATACCAACTACAAAGGCAGGCAATAGCAATGATTCTGTAGTCATGATGCTCCTTGAAGTTTAAACAAAACATTTAATTCTAAAGTTTTTGTCCTTGTGTGAGGGTGGCAAGAAGAGGCAAGGGTTTTTTGCCTTGCTTCGTAGTCCTTCATACATGTCCTTTGTTCTGGCTTTCTGGATGCATAAAACTTTGAAGGCATGCTAGCACTAGTGTATTTCATTCCCAGGCTGGCTAACCATAACATAGAAGTCTTAGCATTTACACAGAGCACAAGGATTAGCTTTGGTAAAGAAAATAAGCACAGCAATCATCTTTCAAGCACTTTGCTGCCTGCCTGCAGGGATCTGTCTGCAGGGATTTGTGTCCCCTCTGAAGATAGGATGTTACTTTGGGAAAGAAATTATGTTCTTTCTTCAACATCAAAAGATTTAAAAAGGCAGGTGGGAAAGGTGGTGGAGCAAGCCTTACATTTGCCAATTTTTGTACAAACACATATTGGGTTTTGAGGAGTCTTATCTTCATAGCAAGCCTAATGCATAGGTTCAAGTTTGGAAACAACAGAAGAGCCTCTCTTTTTGAGCTGCTGACAGTGACACCCACACAGATATTCCTCTATTGTTAAGTACCTGCTTAGAAAGCGAAAGTGAGTTGCCACAATTTTCACCTCCCGAGTAACTGTCTTACTGTGTTACTGTGTGCATGTAGGCTGGGACACCTTCAAGATTCATGTCCTCTTGACGCTGTGATACTTCAGCAAAGCACTCGAGGTGAAGAGCACTCAACAGGGACAGAAAAGACCATGCTGGATTGCACAGCTGTTAGGTAACACACAGGTTCATGAACAGAACTCTCCAGGAACTGCCCCAGCACTCAGGCTCAGCTGCCCACTTCCCTCATGCTCTGACCGATAAATCTGCTCCCAGTTATAGTGCTGCACAGCTTCTACAGGAGCATAACTCTGCCCTCCCGACCCTCAGTTAACATGGAAAGTGAGCCAGAAAATGAGACAGAAGCTTACCCCTTGGATTCAGAAGCAAATGGCAGTGTTTTACCAGAACAGAGCAAAAGAGTGGCCACACTCCTTTCTTCATGTGCCCTAACCTGTAGATTTGGGCAGCAAGCCAGGCTGCAGGAAACCCAGGTTCAAGTCTGTCTTCTGCCAGGACGTAATTGGTCGCATCATGACCTCAAATTTACAAGCAACAGTACTTGGGAGGATTTGCCTTCTGATTTCAGAGAAGAGATGAGAAAAGAAAACACCTGCCTAACATTTCTTCCACGTGCATTTTTTTGAGGGGAAGGAAGGCAGAGAACATGAGTGTATCTTCCACCTGGCATTCAACACCACCCATCCAGATTAGGGAGAGCTGGGTTGTGACTATTTCTTAGCAAGGAAGTACCTTACACATGAGGACAGAGCTGTGCTCTGCTGTCCCACCTCACATTAGGCAGCCCTGAGCAAGGACTGACAAGGCTCTGCCCTTAGAACCTAAGCAGCCCACACTGAGCCCCTTGGTGAACCTCCTCCTCATCCCAGAGGGCTCCAATGAGAATGCCCTGCCAGGGGGGCACCTTCATGCCTTTTGGGAGTTAAAAACTTAAGTCTTCGATGGAGTTGAGATTAAATCCTTCTTGTTATCTCAGATACCACTACCATCAATGACATTTTCAGGCACTTAATTCTCTTCAGGCCTCACATAGAGAGTCCAAACTTCCTCTGCACCATCTGTTGTAACTGCTACTAGCAGACAGGAATCAGAGTGGCCAGAGACATAAAGCCCAACTGCACCATTAGATCTCCTCTGAAGTCCTTTTAAATTCATGAGGTCCCAAGCTGGTGCACACCCAGGGGTCAGACAAACCACATTCAGTCCCTTCCTTTGTTTGAAGGAGGTTGGATGCTTTAATCACAGAGCTATAATGCAATAAGGGAAAGTATCACTGTTTCTAGGGCAGAATCCTCTCACTACAATTCAACAAGAAAAAGAAACCAAAACACAAACCATTCACACATTGGAAAAGGAGCAGGAAGAAAGAAAAACCCCACTGCTACAAGGAGGTGGGTAGGGCTAGCGGTTATGAACAACAGACAAATTTATCTTCATGTACAGAATTAAACTTTCAGCAAAATCTGCTGTCAGAATTACAGGCATGTTTAAAAGGAAAGTTAGACATTTGCATTTCATGAGATATTCAAGTCACATTCAAAAGATGCTCACAGCACAGAGGCTTCACTACCACAATTTGGCACTTTCAGCTAGAACAGTTTCTTAATGCAGATTTTCTCAGTGCTCCCATTACTGCAGCATCCATGAGCTGAAAGAACTGCTATCATATCTAGCTATGACGCTATGCTGGAATGCATATAAAGTGCTTTAGAAGCCACTCCCGTTGCTGAGCATTCATGAGGGAATTAAAACAGCTCCACCCAACAATAAAGATCAGCCCTCCTACATTTCAGGAAGCGTAGTTACAGAGACTTCCAAGGACTGAGGGCAGAGCATTTCTCTTCTGCTTACCAGCCACATATATAGCAAAACTTCTTGTTCCAAATTCAGGATAAAAACACTACCAGGAACAATTTATGAATACATATTTACACAAGATACTTTTCATTAGAATTACAGACTTCATAGGAAATCAAAGTAGACAAAGGAATATGTGCAATTTCGCAGAAGCGTTGAAAACATTCAAACTATAAACATCCTGATAGCACTACTAAAATTCTTAGTTTTACACACAGGCTGATGTTATTCTACTGAGGAAAAACTAAGGTTTTGTGCCACAACTGTAAATTAAGTACAGTAATGTATTATCATTCTGGCAACATAGATAACACCTGCACTGAACAGTGCGATACTGTTAAATCAATCCACTGATCTATTGAAGATCAAAGTACAAATCTGTATTTTTTATTGATTTGGCAGCGTTGCTTATGGAGAAACAAATGCACTAGTTAAACCAGTACATTGTCATACTGCTCCAGTTACAAAAGCATCCAGGACTTTCATAGAGCTACAAACATATCGTACTTCTTGATTTTCCCCAAATGATGATATCCATGTGAAGTAAATAGGCAAAGATACTCGAATTCGTATCCTTCATTCGGTTACACTGACAAACATACACCACCACTTAATAAATAGAAATGCAGCAGTTCATCCACATAATAGCAAATATTTTTGTACCCTAATCCACCACTGAAGTTCAGTTTGTACAAAACAGTCTTTTCTACAGAGTGGAAAAAAATACCTTCTTCTCATCAAGGTGCAAGCTAAGCTTTGAAACTTAAATGAATGTGCTTTTTATTCTTTTCATGGACAATAGAAGAGTTTCATGGGCCTTCTGATCTATCTGAAAATGCATAAATTTGGTCACATGTGGATGTTTTCATTGTTCAGATTTAATGGACTATTTCAGTATCACCGACGTTGTGCTTTTACTCCTCTTGAACAATACCATTCCAAGAGTTATGGAGATCAAATTAACTCAAAACGATGACCTCAGAGTTCTAGAAACGTGAGTGTCCTCATTGTAATACAAGACCAACCTAAAGGAAGAAGAAAAAAATAGTATTTTAGTTCAAGTATGGCAATAAATCTTAACATCAATAGTTTTCTGCACCTCAATTATGGATCATAAAAAAGGCCCATTAGAAAAGTTATTTTAAAACTTATGCCCATTTTTTGCCAGTGTAGATTAATGTACAATTACATCTAATAGAATTCAGAAACTCTTTTTTCTCCTTTACCTTTTCAGATTCCATGCCCGGACACCTCCAGTTGTACAAATAATACTGCAAATTTCCATCTCCAATCCCAAACTTGAGTTTTTCCAGGAATGTTTTGTTTTCCATTAAGTCTAGTGCATTGAATACATCAAATCCTTTCTGGCAAAAGCAAAACATTTAAAAAAAAAATTTTACTTTTTAAAGTTTCAAATGACACTTTACACAGTGGCATGCAGTATCCAAGAGACTAGGCTAATTAAAAGGAAAAAGAGACAATGAAATAAATATTTTCTTTTAATTAGGTACACACACAAAGACATATTCCCAATAAAAACCGAAGTATAATGCACAGCTTTTCTTGAAGGTTATCTCCAAGAGGGTGCAAATTTTATAGCCACTTTCAGGGTCTAAGGTCTGAAGAGTCCCTAAAGCATTTTCTGTAATTTTATCCTTACAGATACACATTTTTTAAAATCCCATACAGTGTTTTGACACACATGGCCTATTCCAGCTGAAGCTGCATAAATACAGCTTATGGTGTTTTTCATCAATTTATCATTCTGTTAACAATAAACATATTTTTGTGATTCAGTCCTTTTCTGAAATGCCATTGTCTTCAGAACTCAAACCTTTCACGTGATAATCCCTCCCCTACTCATGCACGCTCTACCAACTCCTCTTTTCACAAATCTCCCAAATTCACCACTCAGA